TCTGAGAACCTTTTGTTAAAAACAGACTCCGCCATTCTCATTATAATAATAATAATTATGGCTATTTAAAGGAAAAATATATGTGCATAAATTTTTAAAAAAATGGAAATTACCAGATTTATTATTTTTTTTAACTAATGAACATAACTGCAATTGTTCAATATGTTCTTCAAGTGACATGAAAATAGTTTTATACACTAACAGCATTATGACTGTAAAATGTTTGAGAACTGTTTTACCAATTCATTTAGACTTATCTTCATCTTGCTTGTTTTGATATTCATGACATTTTGGCTGCTTTAGTCTTTTTAATGTGTCTGTTGTACTCAGTCTTTTGAGATACCATTTCTGCTTATTATGTCTAAATCTATGACATCATAGTAAATAAAGAGTGACCTCTAGATAGTAAAAATATTTTAAAGCAAAAAGTTCAAAATAATAGAGCATTAAACCCATTCTTTCTTAAAAGCTTTGACAATGTCATCAATAAACAAATATAGACATTTTCAAAACATTATTCTACTGTACATATTAGTAGTGATTTCATTTAATAATATAAACAGTTTATCTGGGATGTATTTTAAAAGAAGACAGAAAAGGAGGCACCAAAATCTGAAGATGCATTGGAATAGCAAAATCAGAAGCTAAGTAAAGTATTAAGAAATAGGAAAATTTCATTAGAAACAAAAGAAAGACTGCTGAACTGCTCTGTAATATCAGTTCTGTATGGCAGTGAATGCAAAACAATTTCATGACAGAGGCTTGAGGCAACAGAGATGGGGTTTTACTTAAGGATGCTGAGAATACCATGGACAGAGCATGTTAGCAAAGACCAAGTTTTAAAGAAAATAGAAACAAAAAGGTCACTTAGAATTACAAAAGAAACTGTTGAAATTTCTAGGACACATAGTGAAGAAAGAGGCCTTGGAAAATTTAACACTCACAGTACATACTGAATGCAGGAGATGCAGTGAGAAACAGTAAGTAACCTCTCTAATGAACAGAAAGTGGTAGGGATAGAAAAAAAGACTCCTCTTACTAAGAGCTACAAAGGAAAGAAAGTTGTAGAGCCATGATTGCCCCATGTCCTGAAGGGCCATGACACACAGGAGAAGAAAAAGAAAATCAGATAAAAAATTCCAAATTAGCCCTTTCAACAATTAGAAGAATTATATCAATATGTTTAAATATAAATTTTAATAAAAGTGATCTCATTGTTTTAAAGTCTTTTTTCTAGGATGATGACACCTGTCACTCACAATCACCAGCATCCAGGATTCTAACAAAGCCAATGTTGGTATCTCTTTGCTAGTCTGTATATATATGTAAATAAATGCACATGAATTTAACTTGAAGCACTTTCTTCTCAGCAAGCCTTTAAATAGCGACATTACTTTTCATGCTCTTAAACAACCCCCTTTATTTCTGTATAAAGCAAGACCCCAGCCATCACAAAGAAAGAAAAATACTGCTGCTATAAAAACAAACTCCCAAATAAAATATAACATATCAAGTGAACAGGATCTGGAGGTCACTCTAAAACATTTGATTAAGTGTGGTTATTTAACAACAATAAACAGTTGCACTGTAGCTCAATGGTTAGAATTTGGGGTAAGTGGCTAAAAGGCCTGAGATTCAAATATCAGTCACTTGGTGCCAGACTGATGACATTTATTATCATATATTTTTGAAAAAAGTCAACTAATTCCCAGCAAGAGCAAAACGGTATTTTCCATTTTAGTAACCAACTTACTATTTGGCCTTAATAATAACAATATAAATGAGAAGGTTAGATCTTGTGGTTAGAATATTGTGTTGATAGCTGAGAGGTATGCAGCTATATATTTCAAGAGCTAGTTTGGAAAAGGTGTGTGATTCTAAGCCAAACTAGGATGGAATAATACAAGATGGTACAGAAAAATTCTCAGCCCAATCAACTTTGCAAAATCTGATCAAATGACCAATCAGAATTTTTTTTTTTAATCCCCTTTTTAGTCAGGTCAAGAATGTTTCAGCATTACTTTATACAATAAAGAATAGAAACCCTTTCCTTTAGTAATCATTCTAATACAGATTTGTAAAATCTTTATAGATTATTAACATATGAGCTGATATAGTAACAATTTGATTATTACTTCAAGTCAAAAGATTGCATTTTATTTAAGCCAATCCAAAACACTGATTGAAACTATAAACCTCTTAGCCATCAAGTTGAAGCTTGAACAATACAGCCAATCCTCCAGGCATTTAACAGTACAAATGTTTTTGTATATAAAACCTTTAGATTTTGTGCACTAAAAACAAAACATTGTGTATATTTATTTACTTTTTTCTCCTATTGTAATGGAAATAAAAGGCTTTGTATTCCTACTATTTTTTTAGAAAAGGCCAAGGGCAGGTGGATGTCTGACAGAAATGGTACATGTAGGGAGGAGGGTGATATTGGCAGGTAGGGCTGAGTGTTGGGGGTCTTAGACAGTTTCTTGCCTGTCCATCCATCAAGTCATCAATTACAAATTCTGAATAGGTAAGTGACAAGCGTTGACACCAGCTTGAAGATTTATGCAAAAACTTTAGGAAGAAGGTAACAAACTGGCCATTTCCATCTACAGGAGTTTCACACTAAGGGTAAGGGGACAAAGCCACCCTTGTGTAAATGTTCTTCCCTATAGGTTTATGCTTGTAATATACATACACACACAGATGTGTGTGAGTGTTTACTCAAACACATATGTGGTTTTGTTGTTTAAGTATGTACACCTATTTGAAGTTATGGATAAGAGTATATCTCAGTGTTGAAAGCCAGACGGAATCTAAGAAAATTAAATTTACATGTTTAGGCAAATTTCAATATGCAACGAATTTGAAAATGTTTAAAATATGTTTATGCATATGCACTAAGTATGAACCTTGACATCCAAATGCATCAGTTGTCACCAATGTAAACATTGTAACATTAATGTTGAAATTTTAGATGCAAAGGCCAGAAACATTAATATTTAAAGCAAAGAATAAATTAAAAAGTAAAATAATTTTAGTTTTTTTCTACATTAAACAATTATAATAAATTATGCAGAACATGAGCCAATAAAAAGATTGCATTTGTGTTGTTTGCATTTTAGAAAATAAATCTTTTTTTTTTCTTTTCTTTTTTTTTTTAAATTAAAGTTTGTAAATTAAAATTTAGGTTACAATAGGGTTATTTATTAACGAAAGTCAAGTGACACAAAACCACATTTATAAAATACTAATTACACCACTTCATCTGTTAGGAGAATTCTCTTAATGTCTGCTAGAAGTCATTGTATAAAGCTGTACAAATTGAAACAAATATGGATTAAATCCACAGAATGATTAAATAAGGAAAAAATAGGAAAACATTTTATAAGTTTAACCTGTATTGATTTTTATTTTAGCTTCATTTATTTAAAAAAATTCTAATGAAGCTAAAATAAGATTAAAACCAGTTAAATTTGTAAATGTTTTTCTATTCTTTTCTTATTTAATCATAAAGATATATATTAAAAAAAACTCAAACTCTTTCTTTTTTTTTGCTCTCTAAACTATAGGGTCCTGTAAATGACAAGATGGACTTGTTTCCCCAAGCAAACCAACTTTTTACTTTTTACTCAACTAATCCATAAGGTGCATAACACACACACACTACAGCTAATCACATAAGTATATAATTCTCTCTTTTTCTGAAGTATGCTGTTCTCTATATAGAATACTCAATTTCTTTAATAACACACTCAAATTTAAAGGATGGTATATGTGAAAATCTAGTATATCTACTCAAACATGTGCATCCACTAAATATAATGTTTAAAGTAATAAGAAATAATACTGAATTATAAATAAAAATATGAAAATAAAAGTTAGCAGATTTTGAGAAATCCAAACAAGAGATATGCCTTGAAATTTGCTTGACTGTGAAAATGTTCCATGGCCTAAAAGAATGCCAGACTTAACGGGTTTCCTCTACAAAGAGGACACAGCTTTGAACTTTCTGAATGCACAATTCTTTTTGTTTTTTATCAAGACTCTCAAATGCACAGGCTGACACAGATTTACACTGTTCAAAAAACTTATGTCTACTCAAACACATGTAGCCACTAAATATAACATTTAAAGCAATAATAAATATGTGAAATCCTCCACAGGTTGAAATTTTTCAAATGCAGACATTACAAACTCTCAAACAAAAACTAGTAAGTGAAGGTGTGCTAATTTTCTTTTATGTTATAAAGCAGTTATATGTGTATTTGTTATTGTTAATAAATTATTTTTCTTTACTATATTCAGAGGTCAATGTTTTGTTAATGAGTGAATATCCATTTTTTTTTCTTCAATATTTTTTCATTAGTTTGGCAGTGAACAAATATACAATTTAGAAATACTTTCTATTTTCAGCTTTTCTAAAGTTATTCACAAATATATTGGAACAATTCATAATGCAGTCTACAAATCAAGTAAATAAATGAAAACACATTTTAGAGGATTTGGCGGGGGGGGCTCCTTGTTAAGATTTAAGTATTTTATTATTGATCATCAATTTGATTATACAGTTGTTTTTATTAATTCATTATAATTCACAGTTGGGAATAAATTACTATACTATAGTGTGTTTCATGAAAAATATGGTATTTTTCATTCTTTGTGTAAACAAGTTTGAATAAGGCTAACACAGCATGAATTTATTAAGATGATTTGCCAAGTAAATTTATTAAGATGATTTGCCAAGTAAACTTTTTGATATTTATGTATCATTATCAAAACACCAGGTAGATGTGACTTACCTTTAGGGGAAGTTATATTTCATTTGATGTAACTATTTATAATATACACACCAATAAAGATTTAAATAAATTACTTGATCTTAAACTTATATTATATACATTTGTTCAAATATAAAGGATGGTTATGGCTAAGAAAAATAACTTCTAGTTGATTAAATATAAACTGTTTAAAAATAAAATAAAGAAATTAAAATTTTTTACCTTTTCAATGTCCTCTTCATCCACCTCAATAATTTCTCCCCCGTGGTCAACTTTAACTTTGACCTTGCCTTCAGGAAGAGGAGACATTCCATTGGTCTTGAGGAGGGTGGCAGAGGAAAAGCCACCTTTATGAATGAGCCAGACTTTGTCAGATTCCAACCATGCTTTTTCCGATTTGACATCATCTTCTGATTTGGTCTGGAAAAACAAATCACATGTTATGGTTAAAATAAAATGTAATAATTTGTACAGAACTTTTAACAAAAAAAAAAAAGAAAGAAAAAAAAATCAAAGCATTTTAAGAAACAAACAAAAATAAAAGAGAAAAATCAACTAAAGAACACAAGATTTTTTTGCCACATGTTAGTCATGTTGCACAAAGTAATATTTTCTTTTACATAGAGAAACCAGAAAAGAAAGAAAATAGAAAGGAAATGAAAATTATCATTTTGAACCTCAAACAGTTTTTAGTTATTGAAAAAATAAAATACCATCAATTGCATATGAAGTGTTCCTTTTTTGTTTTTTTTGTTCCTTTTATTTTATTAGTATTACACAGACAAAAATTTATATATGGACACAAATTGCATTTTATATGCATTGATAATCAATGCTGAACAAATTCAAGATGACAAAAGCAGGTCATAGATCCCAATCAATAAGATGGCTAATATAAGACATGGAATTAGTACCCCAAAAAGAGTTTTTCTTACTAGATTTACCTTTGAGATTTTATCAGTATCTACCATTTCTGAAGTTTTAGTTTTTTCCAATTTTCTAGTCTACTTATTGATGTTTGAACCATGCCAAAAACATTTTACTTTTTAGATTATTTGCAACTTCAAATTGATACTTAAAGTCTATTATACATGTGAGAGTTGAGTAATGAAACATCAATACTCCTATTTTGTCATTGTTACCAAGTTTACCAAAAAATATCTCATAAAAAAAATCAACAATGCATGCTCTATAAAAAAAAAAAAAAAAAAAAAAAAAAAAAAAAAATTGAACAAATTTTTAAAATTTCAATTCTGTGTTTACATTGGAAAAATCAGTGTGCACTTGATATTAAAAAAAGAAAGATTTCTTAGAAATTCTCATTATTTGGGATGATAAATAACTCTTGTTTGTTTCTTCTGAAGTTACTATTCAATAGACATGAAGACAATCACTAGAAAATTTAAACCTATCAAATGTGTGTATGGATGTGTTATTTTCTTCTACAATGAAATAGATATTTTTCAAAATAAAAGAATATCTTATTGGTGATAAGAGTTAATCAACTCAACCATAAAATTCTATCAGAAAGACAGACATAAAGCACATAAATTATAATTATGAAGCATGAATTTAAAAGGAGTAAAAATCAAAGAATCAATGGAAAAAAAAAAAAAAAAAAAAAAAATTTGCATCTATTATTTTAAAACTATCATAAGCTAAATTTTATTAAAAAAAAAAAAAAAAAAATTTTTTTTTTAATGTGTTAAACAGAAAACAAGAATATTTTTTTTTAATTTTGTTTATTTTTCTTTTTTATCTAATTTTCTCAAAATTCTACATAGAAAACAACACTACTACCACCACTCTCTCCAACTTGGTACAGCAACAACCACCACCACCACCCAGAAATTGAGACTAGAATTTAAAAGAAAAAAAATTCTTTGGATTTTATTAAATAAAAAAGTTGTGAAATCATTTCTTTTTTATGCACCATTTATAGAATTTATTTCAGTTTTTCCATAAATAATCATTTTTTAAAGACTCTCTTTTGGTTTTAACCATATATCTTTTTGATAAAGTTATCAAAAACTTATTATCCATCTTGCACTTCTTATTAGCAAACTTTTAACCCTTAACACATTGTAGGTGACTGTAGAGCAAAAGATTTGTCCTGCAAGCAACTCTAAACACCAAATGATAGTGTGTTTGAATTTTTCAGTTGTGTTGTTGTATCCTGCTATGACAACAGAAAATATCAGTAACTGAACTACTACAATTGAGGGACCTTGAAAAGGAATGCAGTAAAAGGAGAATACTTATGAATAATAGTGTAAGTTACGTGCCATGTGTGATACATGCTTAGGCGATCATGTATCTTTCGATATATGACTGATAAGGCAGATTTTTTCCCCTACAGTAGGTTGCCATTTCTTTCTGTAGTAGACCAGTGGCAACCCAAGGCTATAAATCCTGGCTTGTCCTGCTATTTACCCATAGTTGGGGGGAGAAGAGGAGGATTCATACCTTTCCCAAGGGTATTAGTGCATAAGTGAATGGATTCGATTGAAACTCAAACTCGGCTCTCTGATTCCTCAATCCAAGCCGCTATCCATTACCCCACCGTGCCTCCTTTAGTGTACTAAAGGTTAAAAATTAAAAATGCATCAATTGCAATTATAATTTAATGACAGTTTATGTACCATAGAATATAAATATACATAACCTCATAAGAGGAGGAAATTCAACGGACTTAGAAGAAGCATTTCTTTAACTTTTATAAAAGATAATAATGAACTTGTCTGAATTTTACTAGAAGAGACATTTTAATCATTGAATTTGGTTGATGTAGTGCAATTGAGATGGGGTGCAACCAACTTTTATAGAATTAACTTAAAACAATAAACAAAGAACAACATTGAAGAATAAGAAGGTTAAAAGGAACTGCACACACTATATATGCTCAAATAAGTCAATCAGCGGACAGAGCAAGGACATTAATAGTTTGTGGGAATCATTAATCAAGAACAAACAAATGGTAAACTTAGAATTCTACAGACATGGTTTGAGAGCTGGAAGTGTGTACGAAGTTAAATGAGAAGGTATAATTTCAGTGCAGAGGTCAAGAGAAAATAGTTCCAAGAATGATGTGGATGAGAAGGGATGTGTATGTCCTCGGAGAACAAGATTCAACAACATTCCAGAATATAACATGAGGAAGGCCAAAGCAGACATAGCTGAAATGTTATGATAAAACAAAATGCCAAATTTGTCCAAACCAAGTGTATTCAATAATTAGAAGTTGTCTCTTGTCAACAATATTTCATCTCTAGATCATAATCAAGATGTCTGACACTCATTGTTAATTTATAACAAGACATTGTGGTAAACAAAGTAATGTTACTTAAAAGTGAAATATATTAGCTACCTTCAGACTGACTTGCTATAGATCTTCAATAATTAAATAATAATTTAACAAAAAAATAAATTGAACACTTAAAGAAAAACATCACCAAACTTCATTCCTTTGCTCATAAATGGTGTTTATATATTAGCTCCTGTGAAGGTTGGCTATGGGAAAACAGCTTTTTGCTCCTGCAGCTCCTGTAGTTTATGGGAGAGTGGTTTTTTTTCCAAATTTTATCAACTATTGTGACATGTTAGTGACAAAATGTTTTGTCAAAAGAACTTTTTCAAATCAAAGTAAATATATTCTCCTAGAATTTCAACTCAGTGTCAATTCTGTTTTTATTTTTATTGCACCTTCCACAAATTACGAGAAAAAAAAAGGTGCAAATATTAAATTTTCAAAAACAACTTATAAACAAAAATTTACCTGAAATTTCAGTTTATTTGAATAATAAATTTTTTTTTTTTATATATATATATAAACTTTTTTTGGGGGGTAAAAGGGAATTCAAAAACTTTTAAGTCATTTTTCATATAAATTTAAAATTAGATATATTAAAATTATAAACAGATTTATTTTTCAGGGTTTTCATTCTTAAAAATTCCTGTAGTGAACTATACTGACATGCTAGAAAAAGGATCAAATGAATGTCTCTTTTTTTTCCTTTTTAAAGCAATCTTAAGATAATTCAATGAAATAAACAGCTCTTTGTTCCAAATGTTTTCTTTTCTACTCAAACTGAAAATAACTATGATACATACGAAACAAAAATTAAAATAACAATGAGGATCAAAGAGACATACCTACATTTTACATAAAAGATTTTTATCAGAATGCATCTCGCTAAACCAATCATGCATACCAATGCATTACAATAAATATGCAAGATTTGTACCTTCTACCAATTTAAAAAAAAATGTTCAAATGTCTATATCTATAATGAATATTTTCCTGTTGATAAAAAATATAGAAATTTGTACAAAAATTAGATTAAATTTTACTAACTCAACTAAAGACTTGTCACTAAAGTATGACCATTTAGATAAGTATTTGATTACACATAAAAACCAGTAAACTATAGCCAATCACATACAATTATACCAATCACTTGTGGAATATTAAATTTATAAAGATAAATAGAATTATAATACATAGAGAAAAACTTATTTTATGATTGTTTACCATTGTCATCAGTTGATAATGTTTTGAGGTCTACAACAGAATATTGTTATAAGAATGGTTGTAATGACAAGCCCTACAATGATATCAATACATTTGATTTGGGACAATTATAATCGAGTATTCTATGCTAACTAAAAAGAAGGAAAGAAATAATATGCTAATACATAGGAGGAGGGGAGAAAATGTGATGATGATAATAATAATGAAAATATGGAGAAAAAGAAACAAAGAAAAATGGTATATTCATAAAGAAAGATAAAAACCAACAAAAATGTATATTCCAAATAACTTCACAAGCTCTGTTACACTGGACAATGAAGAATAAACCTTATAACGGTCAATTCAAAGCTCTAACAATAGGACTATCTACTAGCATTCTACATGATTGCATAATGACAAAAAAAACTTATATTTTTTGCTGACAATGAAGTCTAAGTTACTCAAAAATGAAAATAAAATAGAAAATGTTGTGAAGTCAGGCATTGAATTTCTTACAAAAGAATCAAAGTCTCCTAATGTAGTACAAACAAAATTCAATGTACCCACCCTTAGAAAAAAAAAGAAAAAAAAAAGCAGAAAAAAAGAGAGAGAAAGAAAAAAGTGGTCTCTAGGTTGGGGGTAAGGTTGTGTGAATACGGATAACAAAATATATGAATACAGAATTTATAAAGAGATGGACACTCCCAAAACAATCTTTAATTCTTTATTTTCTTCTTCTTTTTTTTTTTTTTTTACATTATCATTTACCTTTCAGAAAATTATGAATACACAGCATAAT